AAAAAAAAAAAAAAATCAAGGTTAACTAAACATTGCTACAGTGGTGGATGTCCAAACAGAGTTATATGGTGTTAAGAAATCAAAAACTGAATGATAAAGCTCCATATAAAGTACATCTGTAAATCCCAATAAAGGATTTTGAAGCTGTAACTATGTTTTTTGTCATTAGTGAGTAGATTTTTTTGTGTTAAATAGACAAAATAAATGTAAACACACAACTGACACTACCATCAAGTTTCATCATTCAAGTTCAGCTGTTGACTGAAGCCTTATTTCATGTTCATGAGTGTGGTGATGGAGACACCACTAGAGGGAGCTGTTAACCCATCTTTCATTCAAACAGCAGCACACATTCATTTGACCACAGACTGCATCTAAAACATGACTAAATGTAACTGCACTTTTTCAAGTGTAGTGATTTCTAGAAAATACACTTTAAAGGGTCATGCAGTTGACACCAGAAGTTCACAGACACTGTATAAAAAGACACATAACCTTTTTGTTTCTCACTATTTGACATTAAATGCATTAAACTTTTCCTGTTTTAGGTCAGTCAGGATTACCAAAATTATTTCAATCACTAAATGTCAGAATTTTGAGAAAGATAATTACTTTCTTCAAAGTCAGAAGTTTACATACATTTCCTTAGTATTTGGTAGCGTTGTCTTTTTTTGGGTTTCCTTCCACAAGATTCTCTCAATAGTTTGATAGAATTCTGGCCCATTCCTCCTGACAGAACTAGAGTCAGGTTTGTTGGTCTACTTGCTACACAAACCTTTTCAGCTCTGCCCACAAATTTTCTACAGGATTGAGATCAGGGCTTTGTGATGGCCACTCCAAAACATTGACTCTGCCTCTTTGTAACTAATCTGGCAGGATGCTTCTGGTCATTGTCCATTTGGAAGACCCATTTGAGCCCAAGCTTTAACTTCCTGGCTGATGTCTTGAGATGTTGCTTCAATATTTCCAAATAATGTTCTTTCCTCATGATGCCATCTATTTTGTGAAGTTCATCAGTCCCTCCTGCAGCAAAACACCCCCACAACATGATGCTGCCACCCCTGTACTTCACAGTTGGGATGGTGTTCTGTAACGATGGTCATTATGGCCAAACAGTTCAGTTTTAGTTTCATTACACCATAGGACATGTCTCCAGAAATTAAAAAAACTTTGCCCCTGTGTGTATTTGAAAACTGTAATCTGGCTTTTCTATGTTGCTTTTGGAGTAAAGTCTTCTTCCTCTCTGAGTATCCTTCCAGCCCATGTCGGTACAGGACTGGTTTCACTGTGGATAATGACGCTCTCTTACCAGCTTCAGCAGCATCTTCACAAGGTCTTTAGCTTTTGTTCTGGGGTTGATACGCACGTTTTGCACCAAAACCCTTCATGTCTGGGACACAGAACCCATCTCCTTCCTGAGCCGTATGATCGCTGGACATTCCCATGGTGTTTGCGTATAATTGTTTGAACAGATGAACGTGGAACCTTCAGGTATCTGGAAATTGTACCCAAGGATGAACCAGACGTGTGGAGGTCCATAACTCTCTTCCTGATATCTTGGCTGATTTCTTTAGATTTTCCATGTTGTCACAAAAGCAAGCAGTGTGTTGGAGGTGTGTCTTAAAATACAGCCACAGGTGTGTCTCCAATTAACTCAAATGTTGTCAATGAACCTATCAAAAGCTTCCAAAGCCATGACATCATCATCTGGGCTTTCCCAAATAGTTTGAAGGCATAGTAATCTTAGTGTATTTAAACTTTTGACTTTGAAGAAAGTAGTAAAAATTTTTCTAAAGCATTCTCTCTTTCATTATTCTGGCATTTAGCAAATAGAAATAATTTTGGTAATCCTCAGTGACCTAAAACAGGAAAAGTTTAGTCGGATTTAATATCAGACAAAAGGATGTTGTCTTTTTATCCAGTGTAGGTAAACTTCTGGCTGCAACTGTATTTCTATGTGTCTTCTCAGCCTGCAGAGCAGCAACAGAGAGAATTAGTGGCAAAGATTCCTGTTTAAAAACAACAAACTTTGACAAAATAGTTTGATCATTTCTGCATCAAGACTTCTGTCTGTTCATGAAATGAGAGAAGGAGGGATTCTAGACAGAGAGCATCCACCTGAAACCGATCCATTAGAGAAATTATTATAATGAAATATGAGAAATTTGAAGGGAATTAAAAGAAAAAAAATACCAAATACTTTACATGTTTAGGCTCAACAAAAAAATGAACAGAACAGTTTGCTTTTTGAGCTATAAGACAACTTCTAATAAAGAAATGTTCAACCAACAAACTTCACCGAGTTATAGGGGAATCAGCCTTTCCCCTGCAATCAAAGGTACTTAACTATATTTTGCAAATGAAAGGCTTATTTCCAAATGCTCCGGCTGCTGCCACCACATTCAAACCTCTAGATACTGGTTACCACAGTGCTGTTTTGTTAATGTCACTGCAGGCTGAGTGACTTTCTCTGTTTATAGTGCACCAGTGTTTCTGTCTTTTCATGTACAAGGCCTGGCTATTTTTGGCTGCAGAGATGTAGAGTTCAGTGCTAATAACCACAACATCACACCACAGGGAGCTTGGCTTGGGAATTTCCTCAAGCCACCTCTGTACAGGGTAAGATTGATTTCCAGTACTCTGCACCTTTTCTTGTTTATATGCAAAGTCTTAATGAGATTTTAATGCTTAACTAATACGCAACAGTAGAATAAGAAAACATCACCACACACCTCCTCCCGGCAGAAACAAAGCTGCGACCAGATGTTCCGAACACCGTGTGAGTCCAAACTGATCCGAGCTGTGAACTGAACTTTCCACTGAGGTGCTATTTTAGGAAACACTGGAAATCCCGCAGGGGGTATTAGGGTTTTCCATTCTGACCTCCCAGGTTGGGTTCAGGGACAGATGTCAGGGGGTCACCACCCACCGCCAGCCGGGTTCGGACCGTTAAGTAACTCCTGAGTCCCATGTGATCACACCGACATCTGGAGTGTTAGAAGGGAACTGTTAATGTTTCCGTTTATTTCTGAACCAAAGGATTTAACGCTATCTGAGAAGGCAAACCAGCGTGTGTTTAGGACTTTTAGTGTCTTTTGGACTCCAGGCCATTTGGTTTAGGTGACAGGTATTGTTTTTTTATTTTTGAAGATTTTTTTTCAATATAAAAAGAGGGACATTTGAAACCAAAAATACGCGAACTTATCAGAACATTTATTTAACATAGTATAAAAGTCTAAAATGAATACTGATGGACCCCAAAAGACCTTTAACATATGGCAACATGAAAGTCCTGAATAGGGTTAAATATGACAAGACCAACAAAAAAGCGAACCCAAATGCACGACTCAAAAAACATTCTCAAACTGATTTATTTACAAAAGTATCAACAGAAATATCATTCAACAATAAAAAACCAAAACTCAAAACGTCACTCTAACGAGGAGAATAAAGAACCAAAAAAATCACTCGATGAGGAAATACAAACTAAAAATCACTCAATGGGGAAAAACTTAATCTTTCTAAACAAAGTAACAACTCAAACACTTGACTAGGAAAGAGGCTGAATACAAAGTAGCAAACAAAATACAAAACCTGAAGGTAGTTTCCACAAGGGACATGAACGGGGAAATCCTGGACATGAAGAGGGCTAGAACGTGAAGCCTGACTCAATGACAAGATGAACTGGCAGAGGACAAAGGGAGACGCAGACTATATATACACACACAAGGTAATGAGGAACAGGTGGAGACAATCAGGGCTGGGTAGACAATCAGACACAGGAAACACCGGGGAGAGGGCAAGGTTCCTGAAACACGAGGGCAAAGAGGTTTCAAAATAAGAGCCACGAGACAACACAAATACAAGACAAAAAACTAAATAAAACCTAACACCTGGTACGAGACATGACAAAATATAGAGAATCTTACATGCTGAGATCAAAGTTATTGGATAAAACAGTCCTGATAAATGTAAAGCAGCCATATTGTTAGTATAAGGTGACACTTGACATACATTTGACTGACCTAAAACCCACTTAACACATCCATGAGGATAACATTTCTAACAGAAAAGTGTGATGTAGACCAATGACCAACCACACACCAAACACCAGCAGAAGCCTGTTGCTTTGTAGAGGCCTAATGCAAAGTTTATTTAACATTTAGTCATGAAAACCACCTCATTTTCTCTTCCTTCTCCACTTAATCGTTACTTCCTCCTTCTCAGATGCATATTTCCTTCCTGTCTGTTCATAAAGCATCTCATCCTGCTTCATCTATTCACCTAAAACATACATTTTCTTCTCCACTGCACTTTACTGTATACATCCACTTCCTGATGCTCATTTCCCTTCAACAAAATCAATCTGAAAATGTCAGTTTCCATTGTTGTATGACAATAAAGAGATTAGAACCTTCGTTCAAAAAATACACATTTATTTCCGATGTTTTGTTTTGCAGAAAGATACAGGAAACAGCAGAGTGAAGCATAATTCAAGTAGACAACATTTATATCACAAACCAATATATACAATTCATATTATTAGCGAATAACGCTGTGTATTTGATACACACTCAGTCTATACAGCAAGTATTTACAGAACTTTTGTCATTACAAATAACTGTTATGTGCACTACCTTTAACAAAAAATGGAAAAACATCAGCCCTTCTAAACCTAAAAAATTTCTGCATTTATTGATGGGAACATTATTTATGTCAGGGTGAGGTTTCAGGCAGATGTTAGAAATGACACTAAGACACCACAGTGACCTCTGTTTCGTCGAAGGAGCCTTCGTCTGGAATCACGTCAAAGTCCACAGTTCAGTTATTTCAAAAATGTGTCCAATAGTTGGAAAATTTCCAGAGCAGCGTGAATGAAACGTTGCTGATCTCCTCTGTTTGTAACTTCTACTTTCCTGCTGATTACACCATTATCGTTCTTGTTTTGTTTTTTACTCTGCAGTTCTTTAATCTACTGGCGACATTACATTGCAGAAGCCTGCGTCCTCTTAATTTATGCAGAACAAGATGCTCTGGTTTCATGCTCTTTGTCTAAAAAAAAATGCTAAATAATGTCTGATTTGCCATCAAGTGAGAAGGTTTGAAGGCAGCCGTGATTCTCCTGACAGTGTACCTTCATACTATTTGACTTCTGAACAGTTTTAAAGTAAAGTCTATTGTGAATGAACTGCAGTATAAACTCTAGAAGCATAGAATCAAATGTCACAAGTGCGTTGACTGTGCTTAGTGAAGGTAACACTAATTTGTCCACAGGATTTAATATTCATATTTAATTCTCTGTGACTTCAGATGAGGATTATTGTTTTATGGATTAAATCTAAACTACGTCAGTGTCAATTTTCAGTCATCCAGGTCAAAGAAAGAAAAAAAAGCAGCTTTTTACTGCAGCTCCTAGAATGACTTTGGATTCTTTATGTTGAAAATTAAAGGCCTCTATGCTGCACAGTTTGGACTATTGCACCATATAGATCATGTTGTTTTAATTAACATTTTAGAGTTAATGAAACTCATAGTTTAGAGTAAAGGGAAGTGTCTTTCAACCCAGCTCCAGGCATTTATGGTTCTAGAGACACAGTCTGTTTAGAATCCTATCCTAGTGTTGTCCTATACTCTCATGCCGCTGTATCCCAGCTCGGACGGCGGCCATACCGCGTTGTCTCGAGGGCAGTGACTGTGGCAGGCACAGGTCAGGATCACCATCACCGGCCTCCTGGCGGTTTTTCCGTTGGAGCACTGGAGGTCCACCAGGGCGGTTCTGGTTCTGTGCGGCGTGCAGCAGCGGCCGTCCGTGCAGGAGCCACAGTAGCGAGGCTTGTAGGCCTGGACGCTGGTGCAGTTCTTGTAGGAGAGGTGGACGGCTGTGTCACTCCTCACCATCCTCTGGCACTTACTGCCTCTCTGCAGGGGGACCAACACATAATATGTTTACCAAAATCCACATGCAACTGAGCAAAAAGCATATAAATTGTCATGATCCTGGTGGCTATACAAGGTGAAAACTTGCACACACCTTTGGTGCCAACTGTGTGAGCTGGTCCTGCAGCTGCTCACAGGGTCTGATCATGCACAGCCGACTCTGCTTCACCATCTCACACCGCTGGTTCTTGTTGGTGACCCTGGTGGAGACGCCCATACCACATGTTCGAGAGCAGGCACCCCACTCGGTGGTCTGCTCGATGCAGTTCAGGCTGGGATCCCAGCCGTCAAAGCTCACTGTTTCCTCCTGGCGATATGCTGGATGAACACAGAGGGACAAAAAATCTGCACATCAGCCAGGAAAAATGTAACAAAACTTGAAAACTTGAGAAAAGAAATCCAAAAATATTATATTGCAACATTTTCCAAAAATGCACAACTCAAACTTATTAATAATCTTGCAGTGACAGGGCAGGTAGGACCAGAACATCTACTGGAGGTGATTTGGAACCTCAGCTCAGAAACACAGCTTTTAGTTCGTCTGCTTTCTCAGTTAAGGCAGTAAACACATTAAATTCTATCCCCACAAACATTCGAGTTTAAAACCAGCCTCAAGATCTGGCTAGAGTCAGCACAAAACTGTCAAAAACAATGATTACCTATAATTTATTGCTTCTACTGATTTTTATCTCACACTGATGGACTGTGAGGTTTAGTCTTGTTTTATGTATTTATTGTTCTGTGGTTGTTCTCTTTTTCTGCACCTGCTCAGAGACAACAGATGCAAATCAGGTGCTAACTCTGGTGCACTTACTGTTAACTGTGTGCTGTCCCTGAAAAAATAAATAAATAAACTAAAAACTAAAATGAAGATTGACATTTATTGTGTCTGTGAGCAAACTTTCTCAAAGTTAATGTTTAAAGGTATATTCACACTGTTGTTCTTTCCTCTGTGTTTTCTCCTCCTCCTCCTCCTCCTCCTCCTCCTCTTTTACATCTGTTTATCCTTCCTTGCTGCCTTTAACCCCGAACAGGTCAGAGAAATGTTCATAACCTTCAGTGTCTCACACTGTGGTGACACCAACGTCAACAGTGTATCTGTGTATACAGTGTGTATGTGAACATACAGTGTGTATCTGTACTAACAGTATGTATCTGTGTATACAGTGTGTATCTGTACTAACAGTATGTATGTGTGTATACAGTACTTATCTGGACATACAATGTCGATCAGTACGTACAGTGTGTATCTGTATATGTAGTGTGCATTTGTATATATGCAGTGTGTGTCTGTACTTACGATGTGTGTCTGTATATACAGTGTGTATTTGTATGTACATATAGTGTGTGTCTGTACATCATCCACTCACCTGCCATGGCGAAGCCCCCCAGAGCGCTGGCCTCAGTCTGGGGCTCACAGACCCACTTCTCGCAGCACTCTCCGGGCACCTGGACCCTGCGGGGCATCGGACAGTCAGGTCCAGGCAGCATGACGTCCACGTTGCAGCGCGGCACACAGCCGATCTGGCCGTCCCTGCACACGCACTGGTATTTACAGCTGGGGAAGAAGGTCTGACCGTTCTGGTAGACAGAACCATCCAGAACACACACGTTCCCCTGGTGAACTGCAGGAGATGAAACATGAAGAAAAATGGTTACAAAAGAGACAAACTCACAAGAAGTATTTTTCAGACAACTGAGGCCTGACTCACCGGCACAGACTCCCGTCCTCCTGTGGACGTCGGCTGAGTAGTCGCACTGCAGCCCTCTGCGGGTGTCACAGGGGTTCAGTTCAGAACAAGCCTGGCCTTTCTGAGCAGCACAGACCAGGCAGCAGGCGCAGTCATCCAGGATCAGAGGCACCCCAGGGAGACACAGAGGGGGCTCTTTAGGGCAGGGGCACCGACGAGGACACACCTGGGACCAGACCAGGGTAATAACCTGCACAGGAAGAGGAAATCACTGATTTACATGCTGGGAATCCTAAACTAAACTAATCAAGAGGACGACTTCTGGACAAACAGCAGTGAACGTTACATTATTATACAAAATAATGATGCAAAAGCTGGTAAAGAACAAACAGGCTAGTTCAATTGTCATAACATAACAGCTTCAATAAACCTTTGTGACACTTTTGTGCGAGTAAAAAGTTTTACCAGCTATTCAATTTAAGTTATAATTTAAGACTGCACATTAACATCTATAAAAAACAAAGTACTATTGTTGTGCATTCTAATCTTTAATTATTGTCTGAAAACTACTGTCAGAACCTCAACCTCAAAAAGATAACACAAGCTGTAATTCCTACCTGTGCTACAACGAAGAAAACAAACACACTTCTATCTGACATATTGGTCATCTTCCTGTGAAGCAGAGTCAAAAGTATCTGCAGTCTAAAAAGTTCTCTCCAATTCAGATGACTGGAATCGAGTCCTTTGGGTCAGGGTTGAATCTTCCCTCCTCTCGGGCTGTTGTAGCAGAAGGTTGCGTCTCTTTGTCGTTCTGTCTCAGGACTAAGCAGAGGAGGAGCTTTTATATCCTGCTGGCTCCATGACGACAAACAGGAAGGAATGCTGGAGAGAGTCGGACCGAGACCAGAGTCACATTTTATTGTGAGATCCTGTCAAAGGGGGAACCATAAACATTAGAGAAACTTTAGCCCAGAACATTCCTACAAACAATAATTATTATGTAGATGATATCCAGTTTATGCTTAATCCTCTAAATGATATGCTTTTACATGCAGTTAGTCAGTCACGACTTATTTTCTTACACAATTAACTGTTTCCTACTTTTCCTACATCCTCTGGTTTGAGTGGTTCATATTATTACGTGGGGGCTGCTGCTTCTCTTACTTTTGACCTTGCGACCTCTTTCCTCGAACCCCACCTGGGAGGTCGCAGTGGAAAACCGTTTTATTCCCTGTAGAATTGGCTCTACTCCCTTAAATAGCCTCACAGTGGAAACTTTGATCTGTCAGTAGCTTTGAACAGTGGGGGGATGACACCAGTCGACACATCTGGTCAGTTTATTTTGAGCAGAGGTGAAGCTGACTGGATCTGTGAATGAAATATAATTCAAAAGATCCGTGAGTTTGACTATAGTCGCTCCAATGCGTGTGTGAAGTGGGATTTATTCTTTGAGGCTCTGTAGGAAAACAGCAAAAGAAATCCCAGAAACAAGAAAACAGTTTTCCACTCAGCTGGCAGATCATGCTTACTCCCCTCCTTCATAAGAAACTAACTTCAAAACAATGTGAATCAATCCAAGCACCGTCTTTACAGACTTGGAAATAAGTTATGAAACATTGTTTGACCTATATGAGCTTGTGGCAGAGCTGAATGTGACTGGAACATAAAGAAAAACAAATGTAAATATATTTATATCTTATACATGTAACTGTGTCCATACCTTTGCTTTAGTGTTGTTAAATTATATTGTTTTATCTAAAAGTGCTTAAAATTTGGTGTAAGGGTAGACAAAACATGACAAACACGACTTCACAAAAACAATCAACAGCTAAAACACAAACTAATGTTAAAACTGCCATAAGGGTAGAATTTAGTGGAGAACTGTTGCACTAAACTACATTAACTTCTGGTAGCTGTATAAAGAAGTGGCATTCCACAGTTGCTTCATTTATTTACCCTAGTGAGGATTAAGCGGTGTATAGATAATGGATGGATGGATGGATTATTATTATTATTATTATATTTGGTATTTTTAGTGGAAAGTAAAGTTACTAATTTGACATTGTTTAATTTACAAAAACAAAACTGACAGATTTCACCTATTTGTAATATACAGTCGTGACTTGACGTTTCGACCCTTAACAATCCAAAAACCTTGCTATCCGACAGGGTTTTAGGAAAAACGAACAGAACCCATTAAACCCGGCCACTTCCACCCTGACGGAGCACACCCCCGGGGTGGAAGTGTCCCAGAACCTAAAGGAAGAAGCAAAAGGGCTGGATGGACACAGTATGATCATGTGATCATGTGAGAGTACCATAAAAAAGCCTAATAAACTGCACTTTGTATGATTATATAATTATATGAGTTCTCCTGTGTGTCTACATGGCTATAAACACATGATAAGAGTCAGCAGTCAAACAGTGGTGTCAGTCTCTATCATAAAAGGTGCTGAAGCTGTGCAGGTGAATCAAGGTAACGTCAGATGCTAACTGTTAGCATGACGTCAGCCTGCAGGTGAGGCAGCAGCCAGGTGAGCTGTTCCACCTGTGTGAGCCTCAGTTTTCATGTTCAAACGTCTGGAAAAGTTAACACCAAAAGACAAGGTGGACCTGTATTGAATTTCCCCGCAATTTAACACCATGTGGACTTTATAACGAGCTCACGGGTGAACAGAAGGAAGGACTTACCTGGCTCCAGGTAAAATGCTCCAGGTACCTGGCTCCAGGTAAAATGCTTCTTTTGTTACTTGTTACTGGCTAATCAGTGGTATAACTATTTGCTAGGCGCTGTGGTGAATTGGTAAACAATTACCTGTGATCTGTGTAAAATAATAAATGCATCTTCACTTGTTAAATATGTAATTTACGATCATAATGCAGGATATTGATGCGAAACAGAATTTTGGTAGGATTTAGTGGTGTGCATAGCTGCTAGTGATCTGCAGCAGATATTGTTTTTACTGATTGAATCCAGTCTGCACAGACGTGCCAATGATTAAGATGTCTGATGTTTATGAAAAAATACGTACAGGCTCGTAGGATTGTGATGTTTCCACTGTGGCTGGTAATCAGCTTAGATGAAGTGAACATGTGTGTAAGATCAGAATTCTTAAACGTGGACAATTCTCCAAAATTCCATGTTTGTTCTTTTTTTTCTATCATGTTTAGAGTATCTGTGAGTGATAGACTTTAGCTTGAAGAGGTGCAGACATTTTCTAACTTGTTTGATTTTTGAGGTAAAATTCTTAAGAGATTACAGTTCACAGTAAAAATACATAAATTGTAACTAAAACCTGTTGACAAAGACTGTGAAAATCTAATTTTGAAAATAGGCTCAAGCAGAACTTTTTTGAGAGTATTGTTTTGTACAAGATTATATTCAGCATTTTTCTTTTTTGATAGCATAACATTTGGTTACACTTACTGCTACAAATGGTATTTTCCAATATTTGTTGTCTGTTGCTATAGCACTATCTAGTTTTTGGCAAAGTTAAGTTTCAAAAATATGTGACCTAGAAACTGTTGACAGCTCCCACATCACAACAAGTGTTTTGTATAACATTTAAAAGCATGTTCCAACTAAAACTCCTTCCAGCGTCCTCCTTCACTATTGCAAGTTTCACCTCAAAAACCTTCTTGTTGTGGATTTTCTGCTGCCTCTCCCAGTTAGTAAGAAAAAGGAAGTGAGGCTCAGCACAACTCTCTAAATAATTCCTGATTCCAGCAAGTGGTGGATGGTTCTGCCAAAACCTTGATTCAGTGCTGTTCAAACAGTTTAGCCGGTGGAAGTTGAAGAATGTCAAACTTCACAAGAAGCCTGTGTTTGCTTGCTTAGTGTGAATTTCTGGCTCTCGGACTCAAATCTATCTCTAGTATGTGAGACTGAGACAAGATGAGATCATTCCAAATATCTCATCACAGGATCACATATGGAGAAGGATTTTATACGAATCAAAATGTTGCAACGATGAAAAAGGTAGCAGCTGGACTCAATTCTGACAATCCGCTACCTAAACTTCCCTGTTCTCTTCCTTGTTTTCTCTGCACTGTAATGTTCCCCTCACAGGTTTTCATAATTTAGTTCATAATAGTTCCAGAGACATGAATCATCATTTACCCCTCACTCCAGGATATCATCCTACTTTACCTAAAAACAGTGCATTTGTTCAACTATTCATCCATCCAGTATCTATACATCGCTTAATCCTCATTAAGGGTCGTGGGGGGCTGGAGTCTATCCCAGCTGACTCAGGGTGAAGGCAGGGGACACCCTGGACAGGTCACCAGTCTATCACAGGGCTACACTTAGAGACAGACAACCAAGCACACTCACATTCACACCTACGGACAATTTAGAATCAACAATTAACCTCAACATGTTTTTTGGACTGTGTGGGAGGAAGCCGGAGAACCTGGAGAGAACCCACGCTGCACGGGGAGAACATGTAAACTCCACACAGGTGTCCTAACCAGGACGCGAACCGGGGATCTTCTAGCTGCAAGGAAATGGTGGTAACCACTGAGCCACCTTGCAGTCCTTTGCATATCTAAAGGAAACAGAAAATGTTTTATTATAGTTGCCCATCGATAGGCAAAAAAAAAAAAAATCTGATGTGAAAATAAGCAAAAACCCTAAAAAACAAATACATCCAGGAAAAAAGCTGATGTGCTTGTGTGACAGCTTGGCACAGTATGGCCCAGTGTGATACCTTCCAGGAATGAGGTGAGAAAACTGCATACGCACTTTTATGGTATCTGCGAAATATTTCCACTGTACTGCCGGTAGGAGAGAAGCACATATGGATGACAGACAGGTGGATGGAGATGGAGGGATGGAAGGAGGAATGATGAAAGAGAGAGCGAGAAGAAAGAATGGAGATGGAGTGAATCATGTATGTTGCCAGTGTTTCCATTTCCTTTTTTTGCAGAGGCAGTTATTGAGGTTTTACACCTTGTGTTACTGTCACTCATCTTTGGTTTTACCCCCTTCATCCTCTGGTGGTCGGATACATTTCAGCACCACTTTAAAATGAGGTTTGACAGTGTCTTTTTTTAAACAAAGACAAATCCCGCAGTCAAAGCTTTTTACTATCCGTTGGTCAGTTGGTCGGCTGTCTGTTGGTGTTGGACTGCTGCAGGGCGTCAAGCCGTTTGCCAAGAGGTCAGGCCACACAGTGGAAGCCTCCTCTGAGTTTACAGGGAGAATCCAACAACATTCAGTGACAAATCATACAGTAACGGTGGTGGTCAACACCCTGTGTGGCTCAGTGGGTGCAGCATCTTCGTCTTAAGTATTTATGTGTCATTACATTCTGTTGATGTACACGATGAGCAAATGTCAACAATGACTTTTTATATCCATCTACTTTATGGTCAGTATTCTACAAGTTGTAGTTTGGAGTCTCACATTCGTTTTGGGCCTCTTTCTTGCCTAAAATGCTTGTTTTGACCAAATTCTGAGTAATTTTAGCTGCAGGAGGTGTTTTTTTTTTTGTTTTTTTTTTAAACTTCAGTAGTAGTTCAGTTACATTTTCATCATAATGTCTGACTAAATCTCTAGTAGTTTCCATAAACTAGTTCCTCAGAAATGACTTCACTGTTTGTAGAAACATGACAGCTGAAGACCATCTGGGACGAGTGTAATCTATGGATCCAAGTAGTTGGATGAAGTTGTGAAGTACAGTAGAAACTTGGCTTAAACTACAGCTGCTGCAGAATGATGTCATTATAGGCTCAGGCTGTTGTTTGCTCTAACTCTGTCTGAGCAT